TATCTGGCATTTAGTGGATGAACAATAAACACTTGTTGGGTTTAATTCATAGCATTTTTATCCTCAATACAGCCCATAACTGATAAAAATTTGCTAAAGAAATGCTTATCCACATCTGAAGTTTGAACTTAAGACTGTCTTCAAAAATACGTGTTTTTTGTCCCATTATCTAGCTGTATATAGCCTAGCTGAAATAGCAAGTGAACAAATGAATGAATGAATAGTAGATGCCTAAATCTCTTGCTGCCATATACTTTCTAGATTGATTGCAAGAACGACTTGTGGATTTTTGCACTGATAGTGCTTTTGAGTGGACACTGTGTCACAACACCATGAGTACCATCACTCACCAGGCTCAGGAGAAGCTGTGGCATCCTTCTAGGACCTGAACCACCATGATTTACTGATTTTACAGGAGTGGCAACTAAGGCTGTTCCTCTTTCCTATAACTCAAAATCAAGACTGGAGATAAGAGGATACAAGGCCAAAGAGAAGTTCATAAAACTTGTTTCTAAGTGATACTTGGAAATTGTGAGATAGGGTACTTATCTTTCCTTAGATAAGGTCTATCTATGTGGTTGAACTAACAAAGCTAACCAAGGCATGATCCTCACTTAGAGTGAAGGAGAAAACTCCACTGAGTTTGGAATTTCTTTTTAGCTTAGTTTAAATTGTATGGGATTTTGTGCTGTAACTGAAGATAGTTCAATGCTCCACTACCAGAGATGACTATCTGAAGGATGTCTTAATGATTCTAGGTGACAGAGCATGGCCTTGGTGGTAGAAAATTCAACAGGAGGTGGGAATCAACCTAAAAATTTGATGTCAATTTTTAAGATTGATCAAAGCCTGTTTCAGTGGTGATTTCTGGTTGTTGAAAGGTGATTGATAATTTATTTTCATGGGTTGTGATTCCTTGAGAAACTCCAGGAGCTAGAGTTTGAACACATTAAGGAAATTTAGGCCCAATGTTGGATCAAGTGATTTTAGGCCAATTAGTACCATGAAATTTGTACCATATCCAGGTTAAAATCAGTGTTACACCTTCTTAAGTCTCATATACATATATTCCTTATTAAATACTTTTTCTGTTCTATATCAAGAAAAATAACTACAGCCATCCCTCAGTATAGATAGAGAATTGGTTCTAGGACCACTGTGGATAATCCATGCAAAATCCTTGCATACCCAAGTCCAGCAGTGGCCCTGCAGAATTCGTGTATACCAAAAGATGACCCTCCATATATGTGGGTTTCACATTCCTCAAACAGTATATTTTCATACTGTGTATTTTAGTTGAAAAAAATCCATGGTAAGTGAACTCAAAGTTCAAACCCACGTTATTCAAGGGTCAACTGTAATCAGATTGGAAGTTGCTAAGCACAGAATAACAATGAAATAAAATAAACTACTTTCAAAAACATATACTTACAGCATATTTTGCTAGAGCCTAGTTACATCTTTCAGAGAAAGAATATACTTTCAAAAGTCAAGAAAAAAATAGACATATTCTTCCAGTAAGACAATACAAACCTTTATTTTGTATTTCTCATATTATCACCTTCTTCATTCTTTAATACTATCTAATAAAAGGTTAATTCTGTAAGAAAGGTCTTGCCCTCAAGTGGTTCCTGGGACATAAAGGGTAGGCCCTTAGAACAACCAGCCTTATAATAAATGTTTGGACATGTTGAGGGCTTGGGCCATACCGGGTACTTTATGCTAAAAATGTGATTTATGGTGGCGGTCTTAGGATAGATATACCATACCAGTTTGACCTCTGAAGAGGCAGGAGTCTGAGCAAATAAGATCAGCCACATGAGCACTCCATTCCTACATGACTGCCCTCTAATAAAAACACTAAAGTTTGTGTGACCATCCCTGGTTGACATGTGTCACATATTATTTTGGGAGAATTAGATAATATCTGTGCAACTCTCAAGGGAGAACACAAATGCAAGCCTATGCTTGGTGTCAGACTCTGGTCCATGTCCCTTTTGTTTTTGTTGGTTTCAATTTGTAGCTGTTCAATGTAATGGGCTGTAACTGTGAGCATAACATTTTTTCTGAGTTCCATGTCTTCATTTTTTAATATTTTTAAATTATACTTTAAGTTCTAGGGTACATGTGCACAGCGTGCAGGTTTGTTACATATGTATACATGTGCCATGTTGGTGTGCTGCACCCATTAACTCATCATTTACATTAGGTATATCTCCTAATGCTATCCCTCCCCCTTCCCCGACCCCAGACAGGCGCCGGTGTGTGATGTTCCCCTTCCTGTGTCCAGGTGTAATCACTGTTCAATTCCCACCTATAAGTGAGAACATGCAGTGTTTGGTTTTCTGTTCTTGCGATAGTTTGCTGAGAATGATGGCTTCCGGCTTCATCTATGTCCCTACAAAGGACATGAACTCATCCTTTTTATGGCTGCATAGTATTCCATGATATATATGTGCCACATTTTTTATACAGTCTATTATTGATGAGCATTTGGGTTGGTTCCAAATCTTTCCTATTGTGAATAGTGCCGCAATAAACATATGTGTGCACATGTCTTTATAGCAACATGATTTATAATCCTTTGGGTATATACCCAGTAATGGGATTGCTGGCAGATGGTATTTCTAGTTCTAGATTCTTGACGAATCGCCACACTGTCTTCCACAATGGTTGAACTAGTTTACAGTCCCACCAACAGTGTAAAAGTGTTCCTATTTCTCCACATCCTCTCCGGCACCTCTTGTTTCCTGACTTTTTAATGATCGCCATTCTAACTGGTGTGAGATGGTATCTCACTGTGGTTTTGATTTGCATTTCTCTGATGGCTAGTGATGATGAGCATTTTTTTCATGTGTCTGTTGGCTGCATAAATGTCTTCTTTTGAGAAGTGTTTGTTCCTATCCTTCACCCACTTTTTGATGGGGTTGTTTGTTTTTTTCTTGTAAGTTTGTTTGAGTTCTTTGTAGATTCTGGATATTAGTCATTTGTCAGGTAAGTAGATTGCAAAAATTTTCTTCCATTCTGTAGGTTGCCTGTTCACTCTGATGGTAGTTTCTTTTGCTGTGCAGAAGCTCTTTAGTTTAATTAGATCCCATTTGTAAATTTGGCTTTTGTTGCCATTGCTTTTGGTGTTTTAGACATGAAGTCCTTGCCCATGCCTATGTCCTGAATGGTATTGCCTAGGTTTTCTTCTATGGTTTCTATGGTTTTAGGTCTAACATTTAAGTCTTTAATCCATCTTGAATTAATTTTTGTATAAGGCATAAGGAAGGGATCCAGTTTCAGCTTTCTATATATGGCTAGCCAATTTTCCCAGCACCATTTATTAAATAAGGACTCCTTTCCCCATTTCTGGTTTTTGTCAGGTTTGTCAAAGATCAGATGGTTGTAGATGTGTGGTATTATTTCTGAGGGCTCTGTTCTGTTCCATTGGTCTATATCTCTGTTTTGGGACCAGTACCATGTTGTTTTGGTTACTGTAGCCTTGTAGTATAGTTTGAAGTCAGGTAACGTAATGCCTCCAGCTTTGTTCTTTTGGTTTAGGATTGTCTTGGCAATGTGGGCTCTTTTTTGGTTCCATATGAACTTTAAAGTAGTTTTTTCCAATTTTGTGAAGAAAGTCATTGCTAGCTTGATGGGATGGCACTGAATCTATAAATTACCTTGGGCAGTATGGCCATTTTCATGATATTGATTCTTCCTATGCATGAGCATGGAATGTTCTTCCAATTGTTTTTGTCCTCTTTTATTTCCTTGAGCAGTGGTTGTAGTTCCCCTTGAAGAGGTCCTTCACATCCCTTGTAAGTTGGATTCCTAGGTATTTTATTCTCTTTGAAGCAATTGTGAATGGGAGTTCACTCATGATTTAGCTCTCTGTCTCTTATTGGTGTATAAGAATGCTTGTGATTTTTGCACATTGATTTTTGTATCCTGAGACTTTGCTGAAGTTGTTTATCAGCTAAAGGAGATTTTGGGCTGAGACGTTGGGGTTTTCTAAGTGTACAATCATGTTATCTGCAAACAGAGACAATTTGTCTTCCTTTTTTCCTAATTGAATACCCTTTATTTCTTTCTCCTGCCTGATTGCCCTGGCCAGAACTTCCAACACTATGTTGAATAGGCGTGGTGAGAGAGGCCATCCCTGTCTTGTGCCAGATTTCAAAGGGAATTTTTCCAGTTTTTGCCCAATCAGTATGATATTGGCTGTGGGTTCCAATCAATAGAAAAAGAGAGAATCCTCCCTAACTCATTTTATGAAGCCAGCATCATCCTGATACCAAAGCCTGGCAGAGACACAACAAAAAAAGAGAATTTTAGACCAATATCCCTGATGAACATTGATGCGAATATCCTCTATAAAATACTGGCAAAGTGAATCCAGCAGCATATCATGAAACTTATCCACCATGATCAAGTGGGCCTCATCCTTGGGATGCAAGGCTGGTTCAATATATGCAAATCAATAAATGTAATCCAGCATAAACAGAACTGAAGACAAAAACCACCTGATTATCTCAATAGATGCAGAAATGGCCTTTGACAAAATTCAACAGCCCTTCATGCTAAAAACTCTCAGTAAATTAGGTACTGATGGGACGTATCTCTGAGTTCCATGTCTTCTAAAGAGTCATTGATCCTGAGGATGGCCTTGGGGTCTCTTGATCCCACTTTGCTGTCAAAATGGGATTCACTAGAATGTTTCTGAATCATTGAAACACGTCAAAAGCATGCTCAGAAAAGGAAGGATGAGTGGTGCTTATAAGGTGTTCTTATTGTGCCCCGACTGAATAGTGTCTTAGTCTTCTTGAACTATAGCCCTTAGATAACATTCAATAAGATTCGTATTATAAGCATCAAAGCTATCCGAAATAGATTTCTCCAGTTTTGAAAGTATCAGATTTAACCTGATATGAAATACCGGATATTGAAAGCTCTAAAATTGTTTTCATTTCTTTACAGATCTGGATGAATCACTCTATAAAGCACAGAGAAAAATTCTTTCTTTGATACAGTTTTTATAGAGACTGTGATACATGAAGTTACAGATTTGTGTGAGGTCATAGATTTGTCTGAGTCACTGCATAAAGCACAGAAAACGAAATTCCATCTTTGGCCCAGTTTCACAGAGACTGTAATACATGAGGTCTAGAGAACAACACTGTACCAGGAAAATTTCTTTTCTTCTCATAGCTTTTATTTTAGTTTATATTAGTTTAGTTTTTGAGACAGAGCCTCACTCTGTCACCCAGGCTCTGTTGCACGGGCTGGAGTGCAATGGCACAATCTCAGCTCACAGCAACCTCTGCCTCCCAGGTTCAAATGATTCTCCTGCCTCAGCCTCCTATATAGCTGGGATTACAGGCATGTGCCACCACACTTGGTTAATTTTTGTATTTTTAGTAGAGACAGGGTTTCACCATGTTGGCCAGGCTGGTCTCAAACTCCTGACCTCAAGTGATCTGCCTGCTTCAGCCTCCCAAGTTGCTGAGATTATAGGCATGAGCCACTGCAGCTGGCCTCGTAGCCTTTAAACCACCTCAGAGACCTTAACCTGGTGTCGAGAATTCAAACAACTTTTTACCACTGATCTCTGGGATGTTCATGAGATTTTGTCAATTGAAAATAATCATGCATGCATCATCCTATTGTTTTTATAAAAGAAGCTTATTTAGCACATCCTATGCCTCAACATACTCCCAAGGGGATGGACAGAAAAATAAGCAAGGTATCTGTCTTCAAACAAACCTTAGCTTTTAATTTGAAACAAATACTATATTGCAATAAGTTCATGTGGGCCAAGACTACATTTATACCTGGAGGCCCTAACTTCCTATTTTAACAGGTATTTTATGATGACTTTCCATGATCTGCGTACCATGGGCAACTTGGATCCAGATTCCAAGGGTCCTTGAAATATTTGAGTGTTTGTATTTCCCTACTATATGGGTATCCAGTAAATGGCTCCAGAGGTTTCCTAGGGGGAGAACTTGGGAAATCATTATCATTTATTTGGGTCCTGGATTTGCAGTGTCCTTTTCCTGGGGTACTGCCCTCCACTCCAGCTGAGTTCAGGGTCTGAAATTAGCTCAGATCAAGGCTATGGATGTGACACTTTATCGGGGCTACCTCTCAACCTCCTGGTAGACAGCATTTATTTCACTTGATTGTTTTCTCCCCATCCCGTTTAACCCTATGGCTGGTCCACTGTATTGGCCATCTTCAGAATTATGTCATTCATTCAGGCCTAGCTGTCTGCCACTCATTACTATAAATGAATCTTCTTAGATTCTAACAATGAAGGGTCAACACCAGGTCTCTATGTGTCTGGGTCTATCATCCCCCATCAGGGGGTTCGGTTCTGGAAAGGCACATTGTCCTTTCTATCTGAGGCTACTGCAAAGAGAGCACTACTGACAAGACTGGCAGGATCCCTGTTATCCGTGCTTAATCTTAATGTTTGGTAATTTATGCTTCTAACACCTTAACACTTGAATTCAGAGAAAGGAAGTAGAGACTACTGTAGCTGAGATTTCAAAGGCCACAGAAAAGTGTATGCCTTAGTCTGAAAACAAATAGAAGTAATCGAAAACCAAGCCAAAAGGAAAACAAGAATAGGATTCAATTTTTTTGCATTCTAGTACTCAGATCTTAGTCTTAGACCCCTCATTGGGCTGGCTGATAGAATTCCTAGAAGCAACAAGCAATTTCATCATCTGATAGCCAGTTTCACTATGTTTTTATTGTTATCATTATCAGCATTGTCTCTTACATTTTCTTATTTATTTCTGAATAAGTAAAATAAGATTTCTTTACAAAATTCAAGAGTTTAAAGTGAGGAGTATGTGTTCCTTCAACCCATACATTCAACTGGTTCTTCCCAGAAGGAGCCTATAATAATAGATTTTCGTTAATCTTTCCAGAGATATCTTTGCATGCTCACATATAATAATTGCATTTTTTCATTGGTGATAAGATAATCTACATTGCTTTACAACTTGTTTTTTTTCATTTTTCAATTAACCATTCTTTACTGGTACAAATAGAGCTTCACTGTCAATTTGTTTACTGGCTGTATAATATTCCAGTACATGCACATACTAAAATTTATCTTACCAATCTTATTTGAAGAACATTCAAGTACATTCCAATATTTTGCCATTAAAAGCAATGGCCCAGTGGACCTCTTGTATGTAAATGATTTTTCAAAATTATATTTCCTAAAAGTGAACATAGTTTTTCAAAATGGGTATGGATCTCTTCTATCTCATGTGGGCCAGGCACTGATATCCTCTAACCAGCACTTTTTATGTTTAAAACTTTGCTAAATGAGGACTGGGCATTGTGGCTCATGCCTGTAATCCCAGCACTTTGGGAGGCCGATGCAGGCAGATCATTTGAGGTCAAGAGTTCGAGACCAGCCTGGCCAACTTGGTGAAAACCCATCTCTACTAAAAATACAAAAATTAGCTGGGTGTGGTGGTGTGCACCTATAATCCCAGCTACTAAGGAGGCTGAAGCAGGAGAATCTCTTGAACCCAGGAGGCAGAGGTTGCGGTGAGCCAAGATTGTACCACTGCACTCCAGCCTTGGCGACAGAGTAAGACTCTGTCTGAGGAAAAAAAAACAACTTTTCTGAATGAAAATGAAAAACATACAGATCAAGATCAAAAATAGTCCAAAGCATATATGTACAATCTATAATATCCTTAAAAGAGGAGCTTATGTTTTTTAAAGAGTGAGCTCACACCTTTGACAACCTGACCAATTAATTTAGCAGGAGCAGACAATATTGATGTTAGCTCATCGCCAAGTTTGTCCAAGGTTCGTGCAATCCAGGGAGTATCATCATTTTTTGTAGTATCAATCACATGTTTTAATTGATTTATCTCTGCATTCATCTCCTCAGATTTCTTCTTAAATCCTTCATCAAGCAAATCTTTTTGGACCTAAAGAAAATGTAGGAAGGAAAGTAAATTTTTAAAAATCCCTATTCTCTTAAGACTTACATTTTGTATTTAAGACCTGTGTGAAACTTTCTTTATTTTACTCCTAAAAACATTTTATCAATGATTAGAGGAGACTTTGGACCTAGACATTGTGAGGAAGCATAGTTTACAACTTTACTAATATTCACCCACATTATGGTTTTGCTATGGTGCTAACTCAGGTATGAGGACAAATTCTACATGCTCCTGCCCAAAAGATGCCAGTTGGGAGGTAGCCATTGGTCTGATTGCATAAATTCTCAGTCCCAATTGGGCAGCATGGTCACTCATATTGTAGGAATGAAAGGAACTTATAAGCTGATGCAGAAATCCCTTATGAGAGAACTTTCAGATGGACAACGCAAGAATTCTCCCTACACTGTGTGCTAATTTGGGCAGGCTGCCCACACAGGGTAACAACTGCAGCAAGTTTCCCTTTTCTGTCCTTTTAAGTCTGGAAATTTCTGAGAGTTGTACGTCAGCATAGATCTACCTCAGGGTGTTTGGGTGGTAGTAGAGCTCCTGGTAATATGTGCTTGGTGAAGGAAACCAGTTGCCGTTCACATCTAATACACTGTGTGGAATGTATGTTTAACCTCTTGAGATTACTTTTAAAATCTCCCCAAACAGCAGCTCATATAAACCATATTTATATTCCCCAAGGACTTGTAGGGATCATACTCAACCTTACCTCTCCAGAATCTAAGTATAGAGAATATAGAGACGAATTCCAAGTCTTACTGAAACAATAAAACACACACACACACACACACACACACACACAGAGAGAGAGAGAGAGAGAGAGAGAAGGATTCAGGGCTTTTAGTGACTCCCAAGCAGCAAATGGTGATGTGCTTCCTTCCAAGATGCTGCTGTAACCTTCACCAGCCCTTCCTGAGGTACCTGGGCAAGGACCGTCTGGCCCGCTGAGGCCAAGGGCAGACTTACCTTCAGCTTGTGCTCCAGCATCATATTCTGCTCTCTCAGGAGGTGTTCTCTCTCCATCTGCAGCTTCTCCTTCAGCTGGGCTATGTTTTCCTTGAGACTCTTCTCTTGAGCCTCCATCTGTTGCTGCTGCTCCTGTAATTTCTGTTTTAAAAGTTCCTGTTCCTTCTCAGCTGCCTCCTTCTTGGCCTGATCCACTGCTCCATGAAGGTATTAGAAAGAGAAGAAAATAATAGGTGAAGATTCATCTCCACTTTTCTGAGCTCAGAGACTAAACCAAATCTGAAAGGCAGGGTGAGAAATCACAGAATTTACCCAGGTCCACACCATTAAGAGAACATTTGAGAATGTGATGGGAAAGGCTCTGCCTGTCTGGCTGAGGTACAATCATAGCTCCCCTTGTTATTTTCAGATTTAGCAGAGTGTGTGCTCCACAGAAGAGGAAATTCCTCATTTTGGATCTGTTAGAGGGCATTGTATAAACATAGCCCTCCTGCTGTCAGCTGAGCCCTGCCCCATACCTGCTACTGCCTTCTCTCTATCAGTGAGGGCTTTATCTGACTGCAAGATGGATTTCTCTATCACCACCTGTGACTCCAGGAACCTCTGGAAGACCTCTTTTGCCTATGGAAGCAAGAAAAAGCACTTAGATTTCTTTGAAAATCGATGTTCTGGGCATTAGTGTTGCAAAAACAATTATGGTCTTGTAACTTTTGCTTGATGCCTAAAATTCTAAAGTGGCCCCCTACAAAGTGTGCAGGCTCTTTAGTGTGACCAGAGCCCCTCCTCAACTCCTGCTTCCTGTCTCCCTCCCGTGCCTCTCCCACGGCTATAATATCTCCCTGTACCTGCTTTGGGTTCTGGCCAGGCAGAACTATGTGTACAGGTGTACAAACTCCCAATCTCTGATGCTTATATATGGTTGTCTTCCAGTGTACATTGCTGCCTCTAACCTATGCTTTTGCTTTCTCCTGCCACTTGCTGGCTACAACTTTAGGCAAGTTATGTAATCATCCTTGGGTACTAAGTTCAGATCTGTAAAATTTCCAAAATAAGGGTGCTTCTTAAAGTCATTAGGAAGATGAAATTAAAATGTCAAAGGAAGAGTTTAACAATACACTGTAGGTAATAACAGCTCATTGTGAGTTAGTTGTATTACCATCACCTAGGTGGTGGTAATAAACACCAGGTAGGTAGCCCATTTTCCACAGGTCCGTAAATGTCATTACTCTGTATGCAATTGTCTATTTATTTCATACTCTCTCATTTTTATCAGCTTTGAATGCAAAGATTCTACTTTAACCACTCGAATCACCAGCTCTTGGCACATGACTAATTTTCGTTCTGTCTCTCCTGGATTTCTGAATACTATATTCTTTGTTTGGGGATAAAAATTTTTATTCTAGGAAATAAGTGACAAATAGTGGACATTGAAAGCTAAGGCGTTATGCTATCCCTCTGCTCTCTTATTACCCACAGCTGGTGCCAAAGACTCCATTCACTCTATCCTATAAACTTCCCCATGTTCCCCTTATTCCTCACCTTTACTCCTTTCCTGGGGACTTGCCAATAGTCCTGTTCAATCTTTTCCTTTGTTTCCATGTAGAGCTTGTGCCCTCCAGGAACAGAGAAACTTCCTGCTGAGATACTTTCCATTAGGCCCTTTGAGAGCTCATTGAGTTTAGCCTGGCAGTACTGAACAGAGGACTCTTCATTCTGCAGCAAAAACTCCCCCTTCTTATTCATTGTGATTTCCTGCAAGGGAAATGTAGAGAGATGTCACCAGAAGAAACATATGGAGGAGATGAAATTCTAAAGAATCTGGTAGAAGAGTCAATCTAACTGTGGTCCTCATGAGAAAAACTTTCTAGTGGAGTAGATGTGGAATCAGAAACACAAAATTTCATATATTCACAATGCTAAAAATTCTATTCAAGGCTATGGAAAAGTTCATTAACCTTCCTGAGATTCAGGTTCTTCATCGGTGACATGATGGGACTACATCCCATAATCTCTATGGTTTGTTGCAGCGGTAGCATCCTGTGCTCCTGTCCTCAGTGGTACAAGGATACAAGAAGGAGCAATGTAAGTTAAACAATGGCCCGGAATGAAGATCTGGTAAGAGAATCTTTGTTTTCTGGGAAAGGTAGACTATGCACAGAAAAATTGCACCGCTCAGGGATGACTTGTGCGTGTTCAGAGCAGGCCAGGAATCCTTAGAAGTGTTCACTTAAGGAGGATCTTAAGGGATCTGTATTGATTTTTACCTCAGTTATCAGAAGGTTTTCTGGTTAAGTGCTTAAGGTTTGGGGAGATAAAAGAGGGATATGTAGTCTTTTGAAACTCTATCCCTCATGAGAATCCATGATAAGTTATTTCTCAGTGACAGATGAGCATTGGTGTCAATAAAGGCAAGTATAGGCTTCATTCTTCAAGGGGAAGGATGATGAACAGTAATGACTAAGGCAAATTACCACAAGCTTCTTCTGGAATTCCTGGTTTTCATCCTTGAAGGAGTGCTCCATGAAGACTGCAATGGCTTCCCTCTCACAGGCCGCATGCACGTCCAGCAGGTCCTGGAGCGTGTCTGTGGGGAGCTTCACTCGCTGGGCCATCTGCTGGCTGTAGTGGTCGGCTGCCCTCTGCATGGCAGCTGAGTTCTCACGCTGGGCCAGAGTTATCACTGCATTCTCCAGACAAGGCACCGCTCCACTGTTGATGGCATCTACGTAAGTCACTGCCAGAGTTCCCAAACCTAAATGAACCAGGAGATTTAGGGGCTAAATATGAAATTAAAGCTCAATGGGATCCTAGGCTACATTTCTGAGCACACACACACACGCATGCACACACACACATGTGCACACATGCAAACACATACACCCACATCCCTACCTCCTTCTGCTATTATCACTGTTATTTTCATAATGACTCTTCATTTTTATGGATCACCAGTCCACAGTGCTAAAAAATTTAAATATCTACTTTATCTAACATACTAGAGGGTATACAGGAAGTACAAATTCTCATTTAAAAATTAGAAGAAAAGTAGTTTACACAGATAAAATGATGAGGCAGGGTAAATCATATCGCATTTATTCCCAATTCTGAAGCTACCAATGTATTTTCAGGGAATTATGGGCTAATGTTTATTTATTTATAGGCTTTTTTTTTCCTTTTTTTTTTTTTTTTGAGGCCCAGGCTGGAGTGCAGTGGTATGATATTGGCACACTGCAACCTCTGCCTCCTGGGCTCAAGTGATTCTCCTGCCTCAGCCTCCTAAGTAGCTGGGACTACAGGCATGTTCCACCATGCCCAGCTAATTTTTGTATTTTTTGTAGAGATGGGGTTTCACCATGTTGTCCAGGCTGGTCTCAAACTCCTGAGCTCAAGTGATCTGCATGTCTCTGCCTCCCAAAGTACTGGGATTATAGGTGTGAGCCACCACCCCCAGCCTTCTAGAGGTTTTTAAACTTCAACATATCTTTTGTATTCTCTTTGCAAAGAATATTGAACATATAAGACTTACCCTAAGAAAATATTATATGTCTGTTTTTATATTCAGTTAGCTATTTTATCAGCATAGGATTTTTTTTTTTTTCAGATATGAGGAAGTCACAGATATCAGTGACAGAGTTTGCAATATTGGAGAGGAATTTGTAAATTGCAGTAAGTGTGATAATTATACACATTTCTTCATTGAGTGTGGATACCTGTATACACATAATTCTTCTATATGGAATCTAACAAAAATTCTGAGAAACACATTATACAATATATTCAACACACTTGAGGCACCATAGAAATGTAAAAAGGAGACTCACGATTCCCAGTGACTGTGATTCCCTCCCTGAGGGTCTTGGTTCTTGCATGGGTGAAGATGTAAGAACAGAAAATGTTTGTTTGTTCCTGGAATTTGGGATCCAGTTGCTTTTCTGCCACCTTCTCGATATTGGCTAGAAGGTCTTTGTCATGTGTTGGCCGGTCAAAGACAAAACACTTCCGTTTTGGAAAGAAATGCCTGATGCACTCCCTGGGCAAATTGGATGTTTGAACTTTGGGATTCTTACCTGAAGGAAAAGAAAAACGGAGAATATAGTGACAACAGTCTTGGTATAGGGAGCTAAAGGTATTTTTGACAGGGTTTATTGTCTTTTTGCCATCTTCTAGGCTTACAGACCTCCTTTAACATAAACGTTCAATACTTCTGTACACATGAAACTTGCACCAGTGATAAAATGCTGGCAGGAAACTTTGGGAGATATCTGATCCAAGTACAAACAAAACCCATGGCTAGTATCTGTGGATCTGAACGTAGTGCCGAGTATAAAGTAATTGTTATGAGATGTTTACTAAATGAATGCCTGAATTAATGAAATATCAAATGTAAATTTCTTGTCCACTTCATTCCATGTAGAAACTGAGCTGTGGGACCAAAAAGAAGAGCCAGAAATAAAGTATCCTGGATAAATATTATAAATAGCAACATTCGGTATAGTAAAAAAGATAGCATGATTATTTTAGAAAACCACAAGGATGCTAAAAGAATTTGTATAGTGTTAGCTATTTTTTTAGCAAAATCCTCTGAAGACTAAATGTAACAAGAAAGTAATCTTGTTTTGTTTTTTCGAGATGAGGTCTTCCTCTGTTACCCAGGCTAGAGTGCAGTGGCAAAATCACGACTTACTGCATCCTTGATTTCCCAGGCTCAAGTGATCCTTCCACCTTAGCCTCTTTAGTAATTGAGAATACAGGTGTGCACCAAGACACTAGCTGATTTGTTCTAGTTTTTACAGAGACAGGGTCTCACTATATTGCCCAGTCTGGTCTCAAACTCCTGAGTTCAAGTAATCCTTTCACCTCTTCCTTCCAAAGTGCTGACACTACAGGTGTGAGTCACCGTGCCCAGCCAAGAATGTAGTTTTAAGATAATCATCACTTCTCTATAAACTTTTAAGAGAAAAAGACATATTCAATTTGACAGTGTTGCTCTTCTGCCTATGAATTTTTAAGAAATGTTTCAAGAAAGCATAAATAGAAAAATGAAAGCAACAATGAGTACACTGGAATTGATATTTCTCATCAGGTTTTATCAGATACACACTCAGATAAATGTAACCCATTGAAACAATTATTATGAATTCTAGCATGGACACATATGTTGGGTTTAAGAGAAAAATCATAACATAGAAAGTAAAATGAATATTCCAACAATTATCAGAAATTTTGAAAAGGCACAAATTATAAAGATACATGCTTCTTCAAGTGACTTTAGAACACAAAATCATTTTTGTAGATGATATAACTATACAGGTATTGAAAAGTTATATCCTTCCATGATAAGAATAATATCCGTGTAGCATGTTGATGTAGTCTGGATGTGTCCCCTCCAAATCTCATGTTGAAATGTGACCCCCCCCATGTTGGAAGTGGGCCAAGTGGGAGGTGTTTGGGTCACAGGGGCAGATTTCTCATGAATACCTTGGTATCATCCTTGTAGTAATGAGTTCACACAAGATTTGGTTGTTGAAAGTCTGGGACCACGCCCCTCTGTTTTTCCCTTTCTCACCATGTGACACATCAGCTGTCCCCTTCACTTTCTGCCATTAGTGAAAGCTTCCTGGGGTCCTGATTAGAAGCAGATGCTGGTGTCATGCTTGTACAGCCTGCAGAACTATGAGCCAAGTAAACTTCTTTTCTTTATAAATTACCCAGGCTCAGGTATTCCTTTATAGCAATGCAAAGTGGACTAACAGACACACATATTTTTATTAGATAGGCTTTTCTTTGTAATTTCATGTCTAACAATTATCTGGTCAGTCATTTTCTAAACACAGAAAAGCAGAGGGGAAAACAGGGATCACAAGCATCTTGTTTTTAGAAAGTCTTAGCACCCGTTGTAATCTGAATGCTAAAGTACTAATTGTACAAAGAACAAATCTGTCTTGAATAATTTATCTGCACTTTAGACTCTACTTTTCTTAAGTGAACTAGGCTCCATTCCTAGAGCTCGTCAACATACCCCTCAGTCCCCATTTCTACAGACCTCAATCTAGTCTCAAATACAAATGAAACCCAAGAGATGACGGGCAGTGTTTAGCAGATCACACACCCACTGGACCACCCACAACCCAGGCCACCTGCTGATACCTTGAATCAGCTTCAAGGCGTTCTCCAGGTACTCATCTTCTGTGATAGGGTCACCATTCAACTTCAGCTCCAGAGTGAAATCCCGTACAGTCCAAATAAAGTCTGGAAAGAAACTCACGAACTCTGTGGAATCTTCTACTCCATCAGGCCTTGGGTTGGACTTTGCCTTAATGAGTTCTGTGAGCTCCGTCACATAACTAGGACTTAGGTAAGGAAAAGCAACTGTCTGCCCACAATTCACACATTTCTTTTATAAAAATATTATAAACACTGTCTTTTGTCTTGGGTTCCCTGTGCTGCACCAAAGGTAATTAAATTAAAGGGAAGGAGGAAATGACTGGATCTCCATTCCTATAACGTCAATGAAACTTGGTGATTCTGTTCTGTTCCTGGAAGGATACTGCAGCTGCTCCAGGGCCTGGTGGTTGATGGTGCTCATGCTGTTGTAGACGAAGGTGCTGCACAGGAGCACAGCCAGGGCAAAGATCCAGGAGTCATTCTTAGGGTCACCCTAAAAAGCACATTAGAGCAAAGGACTTAGGGGTGTAGTCTTTAGAAATTCACAGAGACATTTATTTTGTCTGTCTTTCATTTATGATTTCAGCTAATGTACTTGCTGTACAAAGAAGATAGACATGAATGTAAACAACAGTTTGACAGTACAATATGTCTTCTAATCACAATTTCTTTACATATAAAAGGATTCTAATCTTCATAGGGTTTTTCTTTTCCTCAATTGGATGAAATAACATGCATATATGAAAAACTACTAAACTATCTGGTTCCCAGTTGGATATTCATGATGAGTGTTAACGCTTCTTCAGTCTACACATATTTATTGGCCATGCATCATGTAACAAAACCATACCATAGTATGCATAACTGGGGATTGTAATTATATTCAATTAAATTCAGCAAACACTTACAGGAAACTGAAGAATGCTTCTCACTGTTCTTACGTTTAGAAAAGCAAATTTAATAAATTTACTCTCAAGATGACTATTTCAAAGTTGTGACAAACATTCATAATGATGAATTCAATAAAAATGACAATATTTATAAAGAGATAACATCTTAGTAATGTACATAAGAAGTGGAACCCATAGCTATAATGTTAAATTAAAAATTACAAGTCTATCCTAGAAGATAAGAGCTATGAAAATTGAAGAAAGTATATGTGGTATGAAGGCTTCCTGGAAGTCGTGAGCTGAATGTTAAAGAATTGATAGAGGCCGGGCGTGGTGGCTCACGCCTGTAATCACAGCACTTTGGGAGGCCGAGGCGGGCAGATCACGAGGTCAGGAGATCGAGACCATCCTGCCTAACACTGTGAAACCCCGTCTCTACTAAAAATACAAAAAATTAGCCAGGCGTAGTGGTGGGCGCCTCTAGTCCCAGCTACTCGGGAGGCTGAGGCAGGAGAATGGCATGAACCTGGGAGGCGGAGCTTGCAGTGAGCCGAGATCACACAACGGCACTCCAGCCTGGGCGACAGAGGGAGACTCCGTCTCAAAAATAAAAAAGAATTGATAGAATGTGGATTCGAAGAAATGAAGGTGATTCTGCAAGTAGAAAGACCCACAGAAACAAAATTAGAGACTGTAGATTTCAGGAGTCTTTGCAATAAGAATAGAGTTTATTGGTCTGACTGAGCAGAGGGTAAGCGCAGAAGATAAGACCGAATAGGGAGCTCCAGTACCTGGTTGATTAAGGGCACTAAAGGTCAGGCTAAATTTGTTTTTATAAATTAGAGCATGTCTAAATTATAGATAGTCCAGGAATTATTTCTACCCTGAAAAGCATGTGTAACTGGTTCCTAAAGCAAATACAAAAATTGAGATCTAGAGATTTCTACATGATTCCAGGAGATTTTATATGGGATTTTGGAGGTAGGAAGAATAGCCTATTCATTACTTATGTCCCCCAATCCCTAATTTTTAAAAAAGTAATCAATGAGGATTCTTCTTAGAAGTGGAATTCGTGACAAACAAACTATTTAGACAGGAGAATATTACCGTTTGATAGATTACTTTAAAGTACCTATAAAAATCCCAAAGGCATTTTGTTTATTATTATTTTTTTGTAGAGATGGGCTTTCACTATGTTGCCCACGGTGGTTTCTAACTCCTAGCTTTAAGTCATCTCCACTGTCTCAACCCGGCCCCAATAATATTCTTAAATAAATATAAAAAACAATCCTAAAATTAACACAGAATCACAAAATGCCCTGAATAATCAAAGTAATCTTGAACCAGAAAAACACAGCCTGGGGCATTATATTTCTTCATTTCAATATATATTGCAAAGTCACAGTAGTCAAAATAGTATGATACTGGCATGAAAACAGACATAGAGATCAATGGAACAGAATAGACAACGCAGAAATAAACATACATAACAGTGAACTCATTTTTGACTAATGTGCTGAGAACATACATTGAAGAAAGGATGGTCTCCTCAATAAATGGTGCTGGGAAAACAGATATCCACATGTATGCAGGAGATCTATATTTGATCCTATTGCCTACCATACACAAAAACTACTGAAAATGGATTAAAGACTTAAATGGACAGCCAGAAACTGGATCCAGAAATCTCACTATTGTGTATACATCCAAGGAAAATGAAATGACTATGTCAAAGAGATATCTGTTCTTTTATATTTATTGCTGTACTATTCACAATAGCCAAGGCATGGAGTTAACCTGTTTCCATCAACAGATGAATGAATTTTAAAAAATGTGAAATCTATATACAATGAAATACTAAGCCTTCAAAAAGAAGGAAATCCTGTCATTGGCAACAACCCGGAGGAATCTAGAGGACGTTAAGCTAAGTTAAATAAACTAGGCACAGAAGACACACACTGCATGATTTTACTTACATGTGAAATCTAAAAGAGTTGAATTCATAGCAGTAGAAAGCAGAATGATGGTTACGAGGAGCTAGTGGAGAGGGGAAAAGGAAGGTTGGAAAATGTTAGCTAAAGGACACAAAATTTTAGTTATATAGAAGAGGGAAAAAAAGATATGAAGCCATAAAAATACCAGAAGAATACACAGGGAAAAAACTTGACGTTGGTTTGGGCAATGATGTTTTTAGATATGACACCAAAAGCACAGGTGACAAAAGCAAAATTAGACAAGTGGGATTGCATCAAATTAAAATGCTTCAGGTAACAAAGGAAACCAGCAGCAGAGTGAAAATGCAACCAAGGGAAAGGGAGAAAAATATTTGCAAACCATATATTTGATAAGGGGTTAATATCCAAAGTATATAAGGAACTTATATAACTCAATAGCAAAAAAAAAATAAAACCTCATACCTCATTTAAAATGAGCAAAGGTGCTGCAATAACTTGCATGCATGTGTCTTTATAATAGAATGATTTATGTTCCTTTGGGTATATACCCAGTAATGGGATTGCTGGGTTCAATGGTAGGCCTGTCTTTAACTCTCTGAGGAATTGCCATACTGTCTTCCACAATGGTTGAACTAATTTACACTTCCACTAATGGTGTAAAAGCCCACAGCCTCACCAGTATCTGTTATTTTTTGACTTTCTATTAATATCCTATTCTGACTGGTGTGAGATGGTATCTTACTGTGGTTTCCATTTGGATTTCTGTAATGATCAGTGATATTGAGCTTTTTTTTCATATGATTGTTGGCCACATGCATGTCTTCCTTTCATTACAGCACTATTCATAATAGCAAAGACATGGAATCAACCTAAATGCCCATCAGTGATAGCCTGGATACATAAAATGTGGTAAGTAAACACAATAAAATACTATGCAGCCACAAAGAAGAACAAAATCATGTCCTTTTCAAGGACATGGATGGGCCTGGAGGGCATTATCCTTAGCAAACTAAAGCAGGAATAGAAAACAAACACTGCATATTCTCACTTGTAAGAGGGAACTAAATGATGAGAACATACAGGCACATAGAGGGGAACAACACACACTGGGGATTATGGGAGGGTGTGGGAGGGGAAGAAGGAGAGAAGCAGGGAAAATAACTAATGGACACTAGGTTTAATACCTGGGTGATAAAATAACCTGTACAACCAACTCCCATGACATGTTTATCTATGTAACAAACTGCACATCTTGCACATGTACCCCTGAAGTTAAAATAAAGATTAAAAAATGAGTAAAGAACCTGAATACACATTTCTCAAAAGAAGACATACAAATGACCAATATGTATATATAAAAGGGTATAAAATTGCTAATTATCAAGGAAATGCAAATTAAAACAAAAATAAGATATCACCTGACATATTTAAGATGGCTATTTCCAAAAGAATTAAAAATAACAGTTATCAGCAAGAATATAAAATAAGGGAACATTTGCTGTTTTTTGGAGTGTAAATTCATGCAGCTATTATGGAAAAAGTATGGAGGTTCCTGAAAAAATTAAAAATAGAACTACAATGTGATCCAGTAATCTTACTTTTATGTATAAATCCAAATGAAATTAAATCAATATTTTAAAGAGATATCTGTACTTTCATATTCATATTTATATTTAAATATGGAAGTATGAATATTTAAATATATCCATAATAATTGCAGCATTATTCAAAATAGCCAAGATATGGCAACTACCTGAATGTCCATCAATAGACGAACAGAAAAAGAAAACATAGAGTACGTGTATGTGCATTGTATTAGTCCATTCTCATGCTGCCCAATAAAGACATACACGAGACTGGATAATTTACAAAGGAAAGAAGTTTGACTCACAGTTCAGCATGGCTAGGGAGGCCTCAGGAAACTTACGATCATGATGGAAGGGGAAGCAAATACATCCTTCTTCACATGGTAGCAGGAGAGAGAAGAATGATAGCCAAGTAAAGGGGGAATCCCCTTATAAAGCCATCAGCTCTCATGAGAAATTACTCACTATCCTGAGAATAGCGGGGGGAAACCACCCACATCATTCAATTACCTCCCACCGGGTCCCTCCCACGACATGTGGGGATTATGGGAACTACAATTCAAGATGAGATTTGGGTGGGGACACAGCCAACCCATCCATAGCATGCATATATATATTTATTGAATATTGAATATTATATATATAATATATATATATTCAATCTCAAAAAAGGGAATTTTGTCATTTGCAACAACTTAGATGAACACCGAGGTCATTAGGCTGAGTGAAATAAGTCAGACATAGAAAGACAAATACTGCATGATCTCACTTATTTGTGGAATCTAAAATAGTCAAACTGTCAAACTCAGAGCTGCAGAGTGGAATAGTGGTTGCCACGGGCTGGGGATGGGAGAAATGAAGAAATGTTAGTCAAAGAGTATAAAATTTCAGTTATGCAAGATAAATAAACTCTGGAGATCTACTGTACAGCAGTGTGACTGTAACTAACAATACTATATTGATTGTGACCTTAACTTCTGGTAAGAGGACAGATCTTAATTATTCTTACCACACCAAAAAATAAAAAAAGGGCATAGAAAAAAGAAAATGGTAACTATGTGAGGTAATGGCTATATTATTGGCTTGATCGTGGTGATCATTTCACAGTGTATACACATATCAAAACATCAAGTTGTACAGCTTAATTACATACAATTTTTATTTGTCAATTATACAACACTAAAGCCGAAAAATAAACAGAATTTCCAATGCCTGTTTGGGCAAAAATAAAGTGTATGTGTATAGAAATTTAGAAACTATTCCCAAATAAGTCTCAAACTAAGACAAAAAAAGAGAGAAATTATTTATTTCACCCATTCATAAGAAGCTAAACACCAAAAATTCATCTTATAATGTTTATTGTAGGAAGAACAAATACTTTTACACGAGGAGCACAATCAGAAGTGTCTCAAAGCCTTCCAGAATGCTCTGTGGGTGGCTGATGAGCTTTATCATGAGAAATATAAACTGAACTCTCTTAATTTCAACCCTCAAATGTACTCTTCACGTGGTAGCTCAGAAGGTGGGTGAGAGGCCTTCCCTCATCTCCTGAGATTGGAGTCAATACCTCTTCTCTTTCTTATCAAGGCACTGTTATACGCAACTGTACGTGGTGAAAGCTGTGAGGTGCTGCCTGGATCACAGGTGTCAGCTCTCTTAATGAGAAAGTTTTCCAGGACAGACTTCCAGTGATTGACTAGCACCAGGGATGAAGTCCTAGCACCCTTGTCCCAAAACATGGTAACTCAAAAAGGCCATTCCAGCCACAGAGCTCCAGGTGGAATTGACGGAGGGCAGGGACTGCATTGCATTCCAATCTCCTCCCTCTCAGCAACCTGTTTCTTTCCCAATCACACTACACCCTGAGGGCTCTTTGTGGGCAGGACCTTTACTTTGTTCACCAATGTCTATGCTACTCAGCCCAAAGGCCTGGAACTCAACTGCTTAACAAGATTTTATGAAATTGAATCAAATCATTCACCACTGTGCCAAGAAATAAAAGAATGTTTTACCTAATATACCGTGATATCTAATCTTGTCTGGAAGTGTGACTCAAACAGGTCAAAGTTTGCCTTATTCACTGTAGTTGGATTTCTAGTTTTCACAAATATATCACAACAATTAAATTACAAGGATCATGTCTGGAATAAAAAGAACCTGCCTATGACTCCCTGCCTTACCTTTTCCACATCGCCCAGACCCTCGGTGTCCAGAAGGACCAGGGTGTGGTTTGGCTTGGAGGGGTGGGGCACGCACCACATCCAGATACCCTTGGTTTCAGACTGCACCGTGGAGCCCAGAGGGAAGCCTGCAGGGAAGAGGAGGAAGCTAAGCATGGGGACAGCAGAGCAGCCAAGCAGCCCTGGGGCCACAGATTCAGACTGGTTGGATTGTAACTAACCCAGCATACAAGATGGTGCTTTCTGTATTTCCTCAAGAATGGCTTATTTTATGAATAATCTTTATAAAAAAACAAGGGACACTAAATGTGAGAATGATGCCAAGCAAGGATTCAAAATGGTGACAAAGAGGAATCTATGAATCAGACAAAATGTAGGTTACTAATAAAGGAACATCTTAAAAAGTGGTGGGGTTCAAAGTCAGAGAGGAGTGGGTTGAAGAAACACATGAGAAACAAACATGAGAAAAAAGACAAGAGAAAAAAAACTCAAAAAGGGAAATTGAGATCATTTTTTGCATTGAAATGTGGTTAAAAACTAAAACAAACACAAAAAACAGAAGTCGGTGGCCACGATGGGATGTGAAACTCAGGAAGAGTTTTTAAGATTATATAGATTAAAACATCTTCATATGTTGATGGGAATATTACATAAAGAAAGCAAAATACTTTGTGAGAGAAAGGAGACACAATTAGAGGAACCCAGGACTTGAATACACAAGGGAAGGCAGGATTCTGGGCACTAGTAATGGAGAGTTTCCTTAATGGGAATGAGGGAAAATATATGAGAACGGATTCTTGTAACGTAGCGGTTTGGTGGTAAGAATTAGAATGAGAAGGTTGGTTTGTTGAAAGGAATTGGAGTCTACCTTCATGTGCCTGGGGTAGATAATGACGAAACTGAGATATAGCTGGAATCAAGCAACCGGCCTGTGTCCCAGGGTACCACTTACCATGATTCTGTCCTGCCAGATGGTTCATCAAATAGGATTTCCCTGTACGGTACAGTCCTACAATGGCCACCACCACCACTGGCTGAGAAATCTTTTCAAGAATCTGTATAGCTTGCTGGTTCACCAACAGCTTGTCATTGTTGTTTTCCACCAGGCAAATGGGGGCCAACATTTTGGGTCCAGATTCCATGGCAACTTCCAACCTAGAAGAGCCTCCCAGTAGAAATAACGTTACATTGTCATTCTCTGTCTCAGTGTTTCCCAAACACCCATCAACATAGGACTGATGAGACGTCTGTGTTTCTATTGGACAACATGTAATTTAGCATTAGCTGACTGCAGGGAAGGCTTCTTTTATCACTTTCCCAAATCTGTAATGACGTTAAGTGATGAAACATGGAACGTTATCTTCTTTAAAGTTTTATTTCAGTAGTAATATTAAAATCCAAGTAATTGTTACCATAATAGGGGGCCCACTAATAGTCTAAGTCCTGTGATGCATGCCTTAAGTATCTGATCTCACTGGCACAAAAATCTGCAAGTTAGAGATTATTATAGCCACGAATATACAAATGATATCATGAGTCTTACAAAGGATGAATGCAGAAATCATATAACCAGGATTATGAACCTGGACAATTGAGTAAAATAGCAGGCTAGGAAGTTCTAAGACCTTCTCTCCTTGGAGACATCACAAAACAACTCTAAAAAATGGCTAAAATGATCTTATAGGAGCTCTGGAAAACAGTCATAAGTCTACAGCAACCAGGCAAATGTCCAATATTTTTAAAAGGCACATTCAAAATGGTAGGAGATTCCATGGCATTTTGTTTGCCAATTCTACCCACTCCACTCAGTGACATGGTCTTAGTTTGGAGGAGGTGGTGTTTCACTTCCCAATTCCTTCCCTTGAAGTGGAGGGAGCAAAGACCTTATTTGTAACACACTAATCTGACTGGGAACTACCTGTTCTGCCTACCTTGGATTTCTGGTATGTCATACACAATGATTTCTGGCATCATACACAATAATTTCTTGTGTATGATACCAAAACCACTGAAAACAAGTGAAAAAAATTAAATACACCATACTTCATCTTAATTAAAAACTTTTGTGCATCAAAGAACACTGTCAACAGAGTAAAAAGGCAACCTATGGAAAGGGAGAAAATATTTGCAAATCATGTTTCTGATAGAATACATAAAGAACTCATAAAACTCAATAGCAACAACAGCAAAAAAAAAAAAAAAAAAAAAAATTCAAAAATGGGCAGAGTAGACTAGATGTTTCTCCAAAGAAGAAATGGCCAATAAGCACATGAAAACACGCTCAACATCATTAATCACTAGGTAAATGAAAATCAAAACTACAATGAGGTAACATGTTAGACCCACCCATTAGGACTATTATTTTTTTTTTAAAGCCCAAAACCCCAAAACAGAAAATAGGTGTTAGCTAGGATGTTGAGGATTTGGAATCTGTGTGCACTGTCCATGGAACATAAACTGGTATTGTCCCTATGGAAAACAGTATGATGGCTCCTTGGAAAACCAAACATAGAATTAACATTTGATCAAGCAATTCTTCTACATATACACTCCAAAAAATTGAAGGCAGGGACTCACACAGATATTTGTACATCAATGTTTATGGCAGCATTATGCATAATAGCCAAAAAAGATGAAAACAACCCAAATGACTATCAAAAGATGAATAGATTAACAAAATGTTGTATATACCTACAACGAGCTATTATTCAGCCATAAAAATGTATGAAATTATGACACATGCTACAACATGGATCACCTTGAAGACATTATGCCAAGTGAAATATGCCAGACACAAAAGAACAAATATTATATGAGGTACTAGAATAATCAAATACATTGAGACAGAAAGTAGAAGTATAGCTACCATGGGCTGGGGGAGGAGGGAATGTAGAATTGTCATTCAAAGGTAGAGAGACTCAGTTTACATGATGAAGTTCTGAAGATGGCTGCACAACAATGTGAATATACTGTCACCGAAGTATATTCTTAATTAGTAAAATAATAATTTTATTATGTATATTTACCAACAAAAAAAGAGAGGAAAAGACAAAAGCCTGGATAATCTGGCAACTTATTACTCTGTGTTATGCTACTGCAACCACTTATCTGTCAGAATAATTTACCTCAAAGACAATGGTTACGCTATAAGGTTTTTGATCAACAACCTGCAGTAACTTTTTAATGATCACCATATACTGAAACTTGTTCTCTAATGCATCAGTGTGACCTTATATGTTTGTCTTTTATCTATAGGTTTGGAAGAGTGATGGGAATAGAAGGGAGAAGGGAAAGGATCCACTGTGGGATGAGGAAACTCTAGAGAATACAGGCTATCTTTCCAAAAGGGAAGCAGGAGAATGTCCAGAATCTAAAGAATTCAAGTACAGGCTGAAGTACATAGCCTAGAAGGGTCAGGTTCTCTGCAATTTACTCCCACAGATAAGAATAAGAAAAAGAGTAAGAATAACAATACATATAATATTGCATATTATGGAGAGAGATAAATTATAGATATCTAGATAGATAGATAAATTATCTACATATATATTAATAGATAAGTTAGATTTCTTTTTGAGAGATAAAGTCAATGTCACTGTTGGGTGAATCGAGGTGAAAGGCATATGGGATTTAATTGTAATTTTTTTAGAGGTGAAGTTTAATTCCATAAATTTAGTATTGAAAGTACAATCATTCTGTAGATCTCCTGGCACATTTGTATTGCCATTATATTAAAATTGTTTTCTATGATGTCTGTAATTCCTTGTAATCAGAAAAATGTAAAAATAATACTGTGTTCAAATGTCTCAAATACTCAGTTTTGTACTGATATGTCAAACATTCAAGATGCATCTAATGCCCATCAAAAATACCAGCTGTATCATTCACTACTTATGTGGCCTTGACCCAGGAGCTTCATCTAGCTGAGCCTATTAATTATAGGGGTCTGTGAGTTAAATCATACATCCAACCCGGAGGGTGTTTTGATAATAAAACAAGACATTGTAAGTTTATGTCTTTGCATAGCATGCAGCACAAAAAGAGGATTTCAGTAAATGTTGAATTAAATGGAAGTTAAGCTACAACAATTACAATAACAATTGGTCCATTAGATTATATATTGCAACAAAATAAACAAATTATAAATTACTAAGAAACAAAAACTACAAATAAATTTTCCACTAGAGCAAAACTGTAAAGTTCAAGCACGCTGTTGCTGTACAACCTGCTCTTGTCTGATTCTTCACTGAGGGGAGTAAGGAAAATGGAGATCAAACATGAGGTCCTGATTTCCACACTGAAATGCATTGTAATGTGATGTGTAACGTGTTCATCACATTATAGTGACTGCAGCTGTACAGTCCCTTCTTTAAAGTGAACAGTAAAGGAAGCTCTAGGAAGATGTGGCTGCTCCTGCAAACAACTTTATATAAACCAGGCCTCTGGTTTCTTAGCTGTGTGGGAACCACAGACCTTTTAACTTCTACTAAATGAAATACAGCTGTTCAATCCTAGTCAGGACTGGTTTTCAAACTCGGATGTACATAAGAATCACCTGATCACTCCGAGGATCGTTTCTTTTGCTGTGCAGAAGGTCTTTAATAAGCTCCCATTCTCAGCAAACTAACAAAGGAACAGAAAACCAAACACTACACGTTCTAATTCCTAAGTGGGAGTTGAACAATGAGAACAAATGGACACGGGGGGCTGGGGAGCACGGTGGGAAACTCACACACTGGGGCCTGTTGGTGAGTGGAGGGCAAGGGGAGAGAGAGCATTAGGACAAATACCTAATGCATGCGGGGCTTAAAACCTAGATGACGGATTGATAGATGCAGCAAACCACCATGGGACATGGTGGTTTAAAAAAAATCTTCTTTATTTTAAAAATAGTTTCTATTCTTCTTTAAAAAAAAAAAAAAAAAGAAGAAGAAGAAGAAGAATCACCTGAGAGTATTGTTCAAACTCAGATTCCCAGACCTAAGTATCTATCTGTTTAGCAAGAGCTACAAGTGACTCTGATGTTCCTATGGGAAACTAACACTACACACACACACACACAAACACACACAGAGTTTCAACTATGTAATTATTTTTAAGTAATAAAGACCAACGATGTGGGGCCTAAGTTTATTTCTACATAGAGATTTATAGAGCTCTTATTCTGAAGCTTTCCTAAGTGTGACCACTAGAAAGATAGAAAAGAAATTCTGCCTTCAGGTTAATTGCCTGGAATCTCCTTGTTCTCTGCATTCTGGGGCCTGCGACAGGGCCTGTTAGAGGTAGTCAGGCAGGCGCCCACCAGAGTTCTTTCCAGGCCACTCACTGCTGTCCTGAGTTGATGATCAGGGAGGAGCACACCCAGGGGGTCACGGTGTGCCTGGCTGTCACCGCTCAGCTGTCACTGGTTCAAGTGGAGAGGCTGAGCTTCCCCAGAACTAAAGGCAGCCACAGACTCTTGCAGGCCAGGCAGCAGGCACCCTGCCCTTCCTGCCCATTCCTCAGCTGCCACTCTGAATCAGAAACCAAGTCTTGAGTTAGGGACTAAGTTGCATTTAAGAGAAAGTGAACATACCTGCCCTACAGCACCGCAGGTCCAAGAGCAGTTTTCAGTTGCCTCACTCACCTCTTGTTCTCTTTCCTCCTACTACTTTTCTGTTCTTTCCCTCCTTTATAAAAGGAAAAAAATGTTGAGTAAGCTAGTTGTTTTCCACAAATGGGGTGGTGCAGTAAAACTAAACTTGAAACTAAAATTAATCCATGCTATTATTAAAGTGTTAGCAGAGCCATGTCTGAATCATCTGATGTGAGTTTGAGGATGGGTGTTGGGTGCAGGGGTGAGAGGAGGTCAGAAAAAATCAGATGCTGAGCAGTCACACCTTAGCAAGCACAATCCTGCCAGCTTTCTTTTGTCTTCCCCATCTTGGAAGGCTTCACGGACTTTCTTCTTGATACCACTCCCAGGTGGCTTTAGTCTCCTCGGCACACAAGAGAAACAGGAAATCTACAGTAGTCACATAAGCAAAGCTTTAGAAACCAAGCATATTTTAAGTCTTTTTCTCATAGTGGGAATTCCTGAGTTCTGCGGTCTTTTGTTAGTGAAGAATTTTTGATATTTTAAATGTGTTCACACATGCACACACACACACAGAGACAGAGAGAGAGAGAGAGATCTAAAGATATTACTGGTGTAAGAAAAAGAATGAACCATGTCTTTTACAGCAACATGGATGGAACTGGAGGTCATTATCTTAGGTAAAACAACTCAGAAAGTCAAATACCACATTCTTACTCATAAGTGGAAGCTAAATAATCTGCATACATGGACATAGAAGGTGGAATGACATGCACTGGAGACTTGGAAAAGTGGAAGAGTCAGGGGTGGGTGGATGATGAAAAATTACTTAATGGGTAGAATGTACATTATTGGTGTAAGGGAAACAATAAATGCCCAGACTTTACTAGTTAAAAAAAAAAAAAAGGTATTGCAGGTCAGATTTCAGACCCCTGCAATAAAGTGAATATTGCAATAAAGCAAGTCACATAAACTTTTAGTTTCCCGGTGCGCATAAAACTTATGTTCATATAATGCTGTAGTCTACTAAGTGTGCAATAGCATTAAGTTTGAAAACAAAATTACATACCTTAGTTTAAAAATACTTTATGGCTGACAAATGCTAACAATCGTCTGAGCCTTCCACAAGTTGTATTCTTTTTGCTGGTGGAGAGTCTTGCCTCAATATTGATGGCTGCTGACTGATCAGGGTGGTGGTTGCTGAAAGCTAGGGTGGCAATTTCTTAAAATAAGATGACAATGAAGTTTGATGCATAGATTGGCTCTTCCTTCTACAAAAGATTTATCTGTATCGTGAGATGCTATTTGATAGCGTCTTTCTTTCTTTCAAAATTGGTGTCAATACTTTCAAACCCTGCTAAGCTTCATCAACTAAGTTGATGTAATATTCTAAATCCTTTTTGTCATTGCCACAATGTTCACAGCATCTTCACTGGCAGTAGATTCCATCTTAAGAAACCACTGTCTTTGCTCATCCGTAAGAATCAACTCCTTATCCTTTAAAATTCTCTCACAAGATTGCAGCATTTCAGTCATTTCTTCAGGCTCCACTTATAATTCTAGTTCTATGGCCATTTCCATCACATCTCCAGTTACTTCTTCCACTTATGACTTGAATCCCTCAAAGTCACTTATGGAGGCTGGAATCAACTTCTTCTAAGCTACAGTTAAGGCTTATATTTTGACCTTCTCCCGTGAATCATGAATGTTCTTAATGGCAACTAGAATGGTAAAGGTTTTTTCGGAAGGTTTTCAATTTTCTTTTCCCAGATCTATTGGAGGAATCACTGTCTATCCCTATCAGCTATAGACTTACAAAATGTATTTGTTAAATAAGAAATTGAATTGAGAATTGAAAGTTGAAATTATTTCCTGATGCATGGGCTACAGGATGGATGTTGTGTTAGTAGACACGAAAACATTAATCTACCTGTACATCTCCATCAGAGCTCTTGGGTGACCAGGTATATTGTCAATGTGCAGTAATATTTTGAAAGGTATTTTCTTTCTGAATAGTAGGTCGTAAGAGTGGGTTTCAAATATTCATTAAACCATACTCTATACAGATGTGCTGTCATTTATAGTACTGTACTTATAGAGCACAGGCAGAGTATGTTTAACATAATTTTTAGGGATCCTGGGATTTTCAAAACAGTAAATGAACATTGGATCCAACTTAAATTCACCAACTGCATTAACTCCTAACAAGAGAGTCAGCTTGTCCTTTGAAGCTTTGAAGCCAGGCATTGACTTCTCCTCTCAACCTATGAAAGTGCTAGATGGCATCTTTCTCTAATACAAGGCTGTTTCATCTACACTGAAAATGTTTTGTTTTTAGTGCAGCCACCTTCATCTATGATCTTAGCTATATCTTCTGGATAACCTGCTGCAGCTTCTACAACAGCACTTGCTGCTTCACCTTGCACTTTTATCTTATGAAGATAAGCTCCTTTCCTTAAACTTCATGAACAAAATTTTGCAGCTTCCTTGCCTCTCTCAACCTTTAGAGAATTGAAGAAAGCTATGACCTTGCTCTGGATTAGCGTTGGGCTTAAGGGAATGTTGTGGCTGTTTTGATGGATCACTAAACTTTCCACTGTTACTAAAGCTTTCTCCACTAACATTTTAGTAATAAAATACCACAAAAACTTTCTTGCTATTTGCGATCAGGCCGTCTCATTTTCTCATCATTCGTGTGTTCACTGGAGTAGCACTTTTAATTTCCTTCAAGAACTTTTCTTTTTCATTCACAACTTGGCGAACAGCCACGGGAGGCCTCTCTCGGTTTTCTACATGCCTTCCTCACTAAGCTTAATCATTTTTAGCTTTTGATTTAAAGTAAGGGATTTATGACTTCTCTTTTACTTCAACATTTAGAGGCTATTGTAGGCTTATTAACTGTCCTAGTTTCAATACTGCTGTGTCCCAGGGAATAGGGAGGCCCAAGGAGAGGGAGGGTAGCAGGGGACGAGCCGTTGGTTAGAGCAGTCAGAACACATACAGTTTTAAAGTTTCTGTCTCATATGGATGTGGTTCATGGTGTATGGAAACAATTCCAATAGTAACACTAAAGATTACTGATTGCAGGTCACCATAACAGATATAATAGTAATAAAAACTTTGAAATATTGTGATAATTACCAAAGTGTGACACAGAGACTTGAAGTGGGCCCCTGCTGTTGGAAAGCTGAAACTGATAGACTTGCTCTACACAGGGTTGCCACAAACCTTCAATCTGTAAACACACAATGTCTGCGAAGTGCAATCAAGTGAAGTGCAATAAAATGAGGTCTACCTGTATGTATGTACTCATATATATACACATATATGTACACAAACACACATATATTTACATATAAATTTGTGGCACAATGAAATGTTTAGAGTTTATTTGAGGAAGAAAAAATTCATGAATTGGGAAGCACCAAACCCAAGGAGGTTTAGCATTAGGATGACCAAGTGTCAGAGGCAAGTATTTATAAGACAATTATGGAAGCAAAATAAATAAATTACTTTAGCAGTTACAGTATTGCTTTTAGTTTACCTTGCTGGAAAGTCTCTAGTCATATAATCATACTTTATTTCACTGCTTATGACTGAGTTGGGGCAGAAAAACCTCTACCTCCATTCTCTTAAAGTCCTTGCTGGGTACAAAAATTGACATAAGAAAGAGTAACAGGTGAGACGCATAAGATGTTTTATGTGGCATGAGAGCCATGTAAAGAAATGAAGACCCAAAGAAGCAGTTAGAATTAATTACTTACATAGTGGATTAAACAAAGACTAATTGGCTGTGAAGAAGTAGCTAAATTATTTGCGAAGAGGCTTAAAAGATAAAACTATTTTAACAAGGTCTGCACAGAATTCTTTGGGTTTCAACTTCTCATCCTAAAGATAAGGATGTTGCCTTTCCTTCTAGTATAGAGAGTGTGTCTTTTACATGGGAGTTTCCTCCTCTGCTTTTAAGAAACAGCATTACTATCAAACCCTGCTGTTTTTCTAGTTCCTTTAGCTTAAACATTTCATATGCCAGAATAGCTATTTTAACTCTTTCAATTGGCTGAGCTTAACTTTTGTTTCTAATATAAGCATGTACCAGAAATAGCTCAAGTTAATTTTTACTTATGTTTGTAGTTTGAGCAAAGTTAAGGCTATTTTTAAGACCCAGTTGGTTTTGTTTGCTCAGGGATTTGTCAGGCCCGGTCTCCACTTTAATATTATGTATGTGTGTGTGTGTGGAGACGATGTATGTATGTATTCATATATATGTCTAGTTAAACAAACATTTTTACAATAGAAAAATTAGAAAAATATAGATAAGTAAAGCTAAGAATGACTAAAAATTAATTGTATTATCTACAGATACACATTATTAACATTTTCCTCAAATTCCTGCACTTTTCCAGCACACAGGCACTCTCCTAACATAGATATCCTCTGTCTACAGAAATTTAGCCAATTGGCCTAGTTTCAAAGGAATTTATTTAGTTAGATAATAAAGCGATTGTACATACATTTGTTTGTGGAGTAAAGAAATGAATGGGCTGGGTGCGGTGGCTCACGCCTGTAATCCCAGCACTTTGGGAGGCCAAGGCGGGTGGATCACCTGAGGTGGGGAGTACAAGACCAGCCTGACCAACATGAAGAAACTCCGTCTCTACTAAAAATACAAAAATTAGCTTGGTGTGGTGGCGCAGGCCTTTAATCTCAGCTACTCAGGAAGCTGAGGCAGGAGAATCACTTGAACCAGGGAGGTGGAGGTTGCGGTGAGCCGAGATCAAGCCATTGCACTCCAGCCTGGGCAATAAGAGCGAAATTCCATCTCAAAAAAAAAAAAAAAGAAGAAAGAAAAGAAAGAAATGAATGAAATGTATAATAGGAAAATGATAGGTGAAGTGGTGAAATGCCTGAGGAAGCTGGGCTGTGTGAGAACAGAGGGAGTTCTTTTATTTTGCACTTACCCTACCATCATTCCTGTCTATGTAAATTTTTTTAACAAAAGGTTAAATAAGCCAGGCTTGGTGTGTTTACAAGTAGTCCTACCTACCCTAGAGGCCAAGGCAGGAGTAACACTTGAGGCCAGGAGTTCGAGGCTATAATACAGTCTGAACTCATCTGTGAATAGCCACTATGTTCCAGTCTGGGCAACATAATATGACCCTGTCTCTGAAAAAAAGTCCACACTAATATTTTAGAATTTGCATACCATAAGTTTCTGTGACAAGTGTTCTAGGGGATCCACAGACAATGTGCAAC